ACCCGCCTCCGCGGGAGCGGAGGGGCGCGGAGCCAGCCGCGGGCCGCGGGAAAGGGGGGGGAAGAGGCAAGGGCAGCGTTTCCATGGCGATGGCTCCGGGCGCAGCCCCCCCCCCCCCCCCCCTCCCGTGCGCAGACTGAGCGAGCGGATCAGCTGACACATCATTAGCTTAGGACCTAATTATTGCTTATTGGAGCAAGAAACGCGCTCAGGGCCGCGGCGGGGGGCTGGCGGCCTCCGTGCCCCACGGCGGACTTCCCCCCCCCCCTCACCCCGGTCCGGTTGCCCATCCCGCGGACCGGGGGAGGAGCGGCGGCCCCGCGCACTGTGCTCCGCACCGGCCGGCGGGGACACGTGGCTGCAGCCGGGCCGGGCTTCCCTTTGGAAACGGAGAACGAAGCTGCCTCCCCGCGGCCCGGGCCCCGCTCGGCAGAGCGGAGGGGCCGCACTCCCCTCGGGCACCCGCTGCTCCCATCCCCAGCGCATGTCCGGTCGCCTTCGGGACCCTCCGCGCAGTCCGGCTCCTCGGCGCGCAGCCGCGCGTTGAAGCCCCGCGGGAGGGCGGGGGCTCGGCGGCCGGAGCGGCAGCATCATCGCATCCCGGGCTGCGGCGGGCACCGCGCCGTGGGTCCTCGCAGCAAGCGGCCGCCTCCGGGCTCGGTCAGCGGTTGTGCGGCTGCTGCGTGGAGGGGGAGGCCAAAACCGAAGGGCATCCCGGCACATGCCCGTTTGTCATCAGTGGCTCTGAAAGGAAAGGGGCCATGGGGTGCCCTAGGCGTTCCCTCGGTGTCCTCTGCAGAAATGCTGCCTGTGCCTGGGTTTCCAGACACTCGGGGCTTGGAAGGACTTAGTGCAAAGGCAGCGGTGGATTTTTTCTGCACAGGCCTGGGCAGTGAGGAGTATCCTCCGCTTTCACCATCTTGCACCCCACAGGAAAAGGCTCCCATGGGCTTGCAGTTGCCAGCAGAACTGTTAACACTTAGCCGGGATTTCTAATGCAAAAAGTGAAAGTGCTAAGAGACCAAGGAGCAGGTCTTCCTCCTGCACCACAGCCAGCCCATGATGGGCCAGCCCTATGCATGGGCACCTCAACACAGTCTCCATCTTCCCTCCAGACCCAAGCTGCAGGCGCCGTCACCTCTCCTCTCCTTTCATCTCTTTTCCTTTCTCCTCCCAGTCCTGTGTTTGCTTTTCTGCTTTCTGTCTAGAAACACAGCTGCAGACACAGGCAAAGCCGGGAGAAGGCTGTTGTTTAAAAGCAGCGCTCTAAGGGGATGTTTGTGTTGCCAAACCTTTCCTGGCATCTGTAAAATCTAAGAGGACAAGCTGGCACAATGGGTGGAGAAAAGCAGGGCTTAAGAGATAACCCAAGGAGGCCTGAGAGTTTTTGTTGGCCGCAGGGCCCATAAATTATCTTGGCAGCCCCATTTTAGTGTTAGAGGAGCGCGGGACTCCCGTCCATCACAGGATCCAGAGGAGAGGCGGTAACAAAGGAACTGCTGTGCAGAAGGGGAGCGAGGGGAACCTCGCTGAACCCTCACCCAGCAGGCTGTGTGAGATGTAACACTGCTTTAATGTGCCGTTATATCTACATTTAGAAAAAGGGTCGTAACACAGATTGGGCTGTGCTGCTAAACAAGCCTGTCAGATAATTGTTCTCAAACCCAGCTCCTGCTGAGGGTCTTGGTAACTTCCGTATCACACTGATACTGTGCTGTGCCTGAATCCAAACTAAGCTCTCGAAGCAAGGGGGTAAAGGAAGATGTGAGGTAGCCAGGGGTGGTGATCCAGGCAGTTAGGGCATAGATAAGTGAAATGCTTGAAATAAGTAGGAGTGCTTTAGTATATCAGAAAATAATTTCATAGTGGGGAGTATTGCTTTGGATCATGTGAGCCATATGCCTTCTCAGCAGAGACAAATTCCTAAATTCAGCCCAGTTTGGACCATGCCTTAAAACCCCCCAGAAATATTCATTATGTTTTCAAACTGTTTAATGACAGGAGAGAGAGAAGAAAAAAAAAAACGGACGAAAACCAACTGTGGTGTGGAGAGGGGATGGAGAGCAGAAACCAACATAATATCTAACACAACTGGCTTTGTTTCATTGTTTTACAATTAGGGGTTTTGATTCACATTGGTGGAAGGTACGGATGCTTTACTACTGCTTCCATTAATCCCTTGGCTAGAAGTCTTAGAGGCAATGGACCAGCACAAGATGCAGAAACTATGCTTATCATAAAAAACATGATCTAAATAAGGTAAATTGCATGGCCCATGACTTCACTTTTATATTGATATACATTGTGGAGTATATTTGCATAACCTATACTTATTACATTGTCTGTAGCAATTTCAGCAGAATTGCCATGGTGAGTTTAGAATGCAGATTTTTAGTCTCCAGTTTTCAAATCACCTGAGATTTAAATCATCGGAGACTATGAAATTGTCCTTTATATTTAAATAAAGAAAATTACGTGAGGTTGGGTTCACTGCTGTGGCTTTTTGGTATCAGAATTAACAGGGTTTAATAACACAGAATCTCCTTGGAAGGAAAAGGGCTTGCACAGACCCTCCTCCTGTCAAGACTTCTAGTGACACCTCATTGCTCAGCTGAACTGGTGGAACTCCCTTAGCATCCTTGGAAAGAGGGGCTGTGCCGGTCCTTCGATGTCGTGGGCTGAGGCTCTTCTGCATTCTGCAGAACTTGTCTGCCTTCATCAAAAAATGAAAGATCCTGTCCTCTGATCTGGAGACAGCCTTCCTACAGCAACTCTGTGCTTCACTGGATTGTTTGCTCTGCAGCCAGCCCAAAACAATACAACACCAACAGATGTGTGAACTTTTACATTCAGTTGTAATGAAGTGTTAGGTGCAAAACAGAGTTTTGGCGATTTTAAATTGCCTCATGTGCATCAGGCTGTGAAAGAGGTTTAAAATAAATCATGAATAAGTTATAAATATTGTATTTTTGGAATTATGTGCCCTAACAAGTCCACTGGCAACAGAAAGTGGTATCTCAGGCAAAATCATAGAACCATAGAGTAGTTTGTGTTGGAAGAGACATGAATGATCATCCAGTTCCAACCCCCTGCCATGGGTAGGGACACCTTCCACTAGACCGTGTTGCTCAAAGTCCCATCTGTCCTGGCCTTGAACACTGCCAGGGATGGGGCAGCCACAGTTTCTCTGGGCAGCCTGTGCCAGTGTCTCACCACCTTCATAGTGAAGATTTTTTTCCTAATGTCTATTGTCTCCCCTCTGTCAGGTTAAAGCCATTCCCTCTTGTCCCGTCACTAAAAGGCCCTTGTAAAAAGCCCCTCTCCAGCTCTCTTGTATGCCCCCTTTAGGTACTGAAAGGCTGCTTTAAGTCTCCCCTGGGCCTTCTCAGGGCTGAACAAGCCCAACTGTCTTCCATTAAAGTTATCAATGTTTCTAGATGAAATTGCAGTGTTTGGTGATGTAGCACTGAGTCCATAGAAAAAAAATGAGAAGAAACAGGCAAGTTTTTGAAACTTGCTGGAAAAAAATAGAGAGAGGGCTTTTGCCTGAAATCTATCATCCAACCTCTGCTGAAGAGGCGTATTTAGAAAACATGCACCGCATTTCAGCACAGTGCTTGCATCAGAGGATGGTTAAGGGTAGCCTTTGAAGGTAAGAATTTTCTGTCTTTGGGTTTTTTTTGTTCACCAGCGTAGTTAATTATTTTGACACTTCTAACTTGTCCTTGTCCATGAGTTATGATGGAAAGTGTGCTTTATGTGCAGACAGGAAATCATCCTTGCTGTACTCAAAGAAGATGCACTGAGGAATAAAGAAACCGCAGCTCCAAATGGCTTACTTTAAACTCTGTATCTACTAGCACTTTTCCTCTCTTCTGAAGAGAATTTCAGTGGAAGTCTCTTGTCACGTCCTTTACAGCCCAGTGATGGCAGCACCAATGCGCATTTCCAGCCTTAACGCCTGTGGAGGCCAAAGTCAGCGTTCACACACTGCATGGGCTTGTCTGCACTGTGTTCCTTTGGTCTTGGGTATGTGACAAAATCACCTGAGTGGTCGGATAGTCAGCGCCCTGTTGCATTTGGGGAGGTAGGAATCTGCTGTGACACAGCTTCCGGGAGTAGGAAATAGTCACTGTTACACCTACCAACATTTCTGGCAAAGGACCACTCTAGGAAGTTGTTCTTAATGATCACTCCAAGGTGTTTGCTGCTTAGAAGGTCAGAAACTAGAGCAGTGGATACTTGATGGTACTCAAGGATGAAAACTGCAAGCAAATGAATGCCTCCTGGGTTTTGATTATCTACTGAGTGAGCTGTCATGAAGCAAAGCCTAAACTATTAATTATTGTTTAATATAACTGCTTCCTACATATTCTCTATTGTTTATGATTCCAGTTTTTTTCTCTACTTTTTTTTTCAATACGTTTCAATCAGTTACTGCTGAGTTTGGAAAAGTAAGAGGGGACAGACCAAGGCAATGACTCAGAGATGGATTAGAAAAGCATATTAGATTGCTAAATCTTGTGGGGAAAAGAGCCTGTTATGTTCTTCTAGAAAGAGGAGAATGGTGCAGTAATTCTGGTTAGGATCTTTTCACATAGAGTGATGTTGATGATGCTGATGAGAATAATATTGGGATATATTCCATCTTTGCCTTCTGATCATCTTGTTTATAGACATTTTGGAATCTCTTATGGAAAATACTTAAACTCACTTTCCCTTCCTGCAGTTAGAAAAATTCAGATTCTGCTTCATTCTACAGAGCTGCTTTGCTTTAAGTAGCAGTTCTGCAAAACATAACTTCACATATTTCTTTTACTGCATGCTTTATTACTGAGAATATTTGCATGAAACCAGGGTCTTTGTTTAAAAAGTTCCTGCTTCTTATTCATCACAGCTCGTTGGTTTGGAAGCAGTTATGGTACCCTCTACAGAAAGCTCCGCTCCCTTCAAGGCAGGAAAATATAAGCAGGAATAGACAAACTTTTGAGAATCTGAGTACTTGTTTTCATGCAAATGTCCTCATTTACGTAGTAATAAAGAGAGGAAAAGTGAATAGATATCTGACATATGGCGGAAAAAAAGAATGTTTCAAATGTGTTAAGGTTTGTATATGGGCATTGAATGTTTTTTAACGTTATAATGATTCCTTACCTTCAACTTTGCTTGCTTTTATCCTAACAGAGAAGGTGTGCACAAAGGATTTCTGTTTTTCATGTAGGATGTTTTATTCTTTCTACAGGTAAAGTATCTTTCTCAGCTAGAGCAACTCTAATACAAACTAGCTACTGGGATATCACCCAGTGCGTTGTCTAAACCAAGCCAGCACTAATAAGGCAGCACTGAAAATGCTAGCTGCCTATCTCTGTTAGTGTTCTTAATGTTACTGCCATGGAGGAAGATGTGATAATTGGAAATTTTTCCAGAAAGTTCCAGGTACAGCTCTATAGCCATCATGTCAGGCACTACTAGACAAAGCCAACAGTGGAGGAGAGGAGTGTGGTTAAGCTGCTGGCACTGTCCTTCTTACAGCAGGGGGAAACTGTGGAGGAAGAAGAAAAGAAGAGGGAGGGTTATTCAATCTGAAATGCATGTCAAAATACATCATTAATCTCTCCCTGGCATAAAATACCATTGAAATTTTACCTTTGCATCTGATGTAAAATCCAAATTTTACTTTTGTATCAGAAGCATGGGGTCCTCCTAGCACTTCATGACATTATAGAGATTTGCTAGCTAGGGACCAAAACAGAAGAAATGAGTGTCACCTCTCATTGCAAGTATTATTTGCTTCACTATTTCATGGGTTTCAGCTCCTTAACCACCTTGACCTTGCTTCGCAGGTGAAATTTGCTCAAAATACTTCCCAAATTTTTGCCACTGTGGTTTTACTACAAGCTAGCCATGATCTTTTAATGCAAACATCGTGCACATGTTGTGGTTATATGTGTAGGGTCCCAGAATGGTCATTAAGAAAGAGCCCTTTCAGAAGCTGTCATTACCGGTCGCATTTGACTTGGTAACATTCATTTGCCATTTCAATGTCCTGAATTAAGTTTTAAAACACTGAGTCAGGGCCATTGGCATCAAATTTAAGCATCAGAACAGTATAAATAGTATCTGCCCTCATGGGACTTTTCCCTGCTCCCCAAATGCAGCTTATCTGTTGCACACTCCTAATGCTGGTCTGTGTTCCTGTTAAACAACTGAATAAGTTTTACTCAGTATAACTCCACTCCAAACGATAGCAACAAAAGAAAGATCATCAATTCCAAAAAGTGAACACAACCAACCAAACTGATTAAATGAAAAGAATTCTGGGAACAACTGTGGGTTTATAAACAGAAGTGGGGTGCAGAGCTCCATGAATTTACAGTTGTAAAATTGGTTCAGAGATGAGAAGCTGTTTGGGTTTGGTTTGTAGGGTTCTTCTGCCTGGTTCAGGTGTTTGGTTTGCTGGTCTGCTGTTCTCTGTGTGCTCTGCCTGACTGAGTTATCCCTCACCCCTCAGGAGTGAGCAGAGAACCCCTTACCAAGGAAGGTTCCTGCTACCTGTATGGCTCAGGACACTGCTGCTAATCAATTAAGTAGAGAATTTCCAAGCATGTGTAGAGAATGACCAGCGTAGGGAGCTGGAGATAGTTGCTATTGTGTCCTGCAGGTCTCCCAGTTTAACAATACAGGCCTGAGGACCTCACAGGTCCTACCTACTCTAAGTAATCAAGTGTACAGAACACATATTCCATATTTCCCCCATGCTCTAGGGCTCTCCCAAGCCTTTATGTCAATCTGGAAATGGGCAGAAAGAGACAAAAATCTGCAATAGTTTGCAACAACAGGAAAACAGTTGTGACACACTGATTTCTGACCAGCTGTGTCCTACCGCAAGCAGTGCAGCAAGGAGACACTAGGTGTGAAAGATAACAGCACTCAGGAATAAAACGAGGAATGAGTGCAGGACTGCCCCTTTGTGCTCTGTCTCTGGAGATCTGCCAGAATCATAGCACTTAGCTATACCAAGACCTTGCAGGTTATTTGCTGTTAGAAGCAGGTTTATTTAGACCTCAGTATGCCTGTGTGTTTCCTTAACCCCATGTTCCTGTTACTCGGAACAAAAGCCACAGTCAAGAGTCCTGTGACAGTGAAGTTTTAGATGGCAGTAAACATCATCATGACCACTCTGCCCTCTGGTACAGCCCTTCACTTTGAGCTGAGATACGGAAAGAAATGTAGAGATGGAGCATGAGGCAGCAAAAATTCCTGTTTTGTTTCAGGAGTGGCATTTCTCCATCTGCTGTCCCCAGCCATTTAATGACCACTCTCTGGTATATAAAGTAATGCAAAAATGGCTTTAACAAAAATGATTCTGGTGCCTTATCTTTTGGATGCTTACAAGTCTCCAAGGTACCTCTGAAGCTTGTCCATTGCTGCTAAAACCTGAAGGATTCACCTGAATCAGCATATTCTCTCTTTGATTTCGCTCTTCCCCAAAGGAAAAGGCCATCTGAAGAAAACATCCCATTGGGTAATGCTTCAAGGCTCAATAGTGACAGCGGTATGCCTGAAATGTGAAAGATAGAGTGAATATTTGTATTTATGACCACTAGCCTAAAGAGAACAATGCTGCCTTAGCAAAGTCCTCACTCTGTTTAACACATACTGAATTTTGCAGTGTTAAGCTCTATATATCTTCATTTATTTCCAACTGAACCTTGCGTAATGGTTCTTATGAAAGAAAGTAAAACTGGAGCTCCTTGTACTTCCTACAGCCATGCTTTTGAACCAGAGGTGTACTTTGTTTTCTGAAATAGGTATCTCCATTCAAACAAATATGTGATAATGTGTTCATGTGTGAAAAAGACATATGTAGTGTTGAGATTCTGTCCAACTTGTTGTGCAGATGCTACGTACTAGAGAAATAATGACTCAGTAGGGGAATTTTACTCATCATGTAATGCGCTCACCTTCATAAGCAACACCTTGCCTTCACTACTCTTAGTCCTGCTAGAGACTGGAGAGGAAGAGATGGGCATGGCCATAGGCAGGGCAGCTTAGGTAGCTATCATGCTGTTTCTGCTGTGTTTTGGGGTTTGTTTGAGTTTTTAAAAAGATATGGTCTCTCTCTGTAAGATCAAGTACTGCCGCGGTGCTTCCCAGTCTCTAATGGGAAGGAAAAGACCGTTTCAGCCTTTGCCTCCAGACTTTCACTCTGTAACCACCCACTCTGTTGTTGTGCTTAGCATGGGCAGAAAGCTCCCTGTTGACATATTAGTGACTTTCTAATTCATGCATTAATTTTGCTAATCAATCAGAGGAAGCTGAAAAATAACAACAGGCTATACCAAAACTTGTCTGTCATATATTGACTCATGCTGGCCAGCCCAACTGTTTCCCTTGCTTCTTTCTATCGTTTTGATTTACACATCCAGATTGCTTAAAGAGGTGATCACTTAGCCTGTCACTTGCTACAGGCCTCCAAGAATTAATTAAAATACAATAAATCCACCTGTATATGCAGTATCCCTAGAAAGCAGACAGCACGTTTGCAAGCTTACTGCAGGAAATAATTGTGGTGCGTTGAAGACAAACTCAAATTTCTGTTCTCAAATTCTTCCCAAATCACAGATACAATGCAAGAAGTTGTCTGACTGGTCCATTTTAAAGAGTGAGCTTGAAATGTATTTTAAAGGATAACTAAGGTAGAAGACCTTTCCAGGTATCACTCTGTAACTCCCTGGTATTGCCGGGTGTCCTGGCCATGGTAGGTACCATTCCCAAAGAGAAAAAGAGACACATCCTAAAAGACCATGTGGAGTATTGTAGAGAAATCTCAGTATCTTAAATTCTGACTGGGAAACAAAGCAATTGTCACCGATCTTGGAGTATACATAAAAAATAGTCTGTTAATGGGGTTGCTGTGTTTTGTTCTCCATGTCTGAGGCAGTTTAGTGTATCTAGAGAAACAGTTGACATGCCCCACTTCTTCAAAGAAATCCATTTCTCTGTTAAACCCAACTTCTGCCACATCAGCCCCATTCCAGACTCAGCATAACTATGCTTAGAAGCTCCAAGGCTCAGTATATACATTTAAAGTATTGGGGTTTGGTCCATATGTATAAAGGCTCTCTAAATGACTGAATGAACGAATGAGTGAGTGAATGAATGAATCAAGAGTAATAGTGCCTAATGTCACTGATGGTGAATAATCAGCTAAATGTAAATTTTCAATCCAAGGATGTAAGTCAGAGGGTCAGTGCCCTGTTTCTGGTGCAGGATTTCTTAGAGTAAAGCTGTGTTGCCTCTGTATTAGCAGAGGTGCAGTGGTGACTGAAGCAGTGTTCACTTCTAGGGTCCATCATCACGGACTGGTGGCAAGCAGAGATGTGTTCAGAGAAGGGCTACAAGAGGGGAAGGGATGTCTTCCAATGGGAGGCTTATGTAGATCAATCTATTTAGCTTAATAAGGACAAGGTTAAGGGGAGAGCTGATTATACTTTATAAATTTCCCAACTCCCTGTAGAAATAGAAGTGTAGGAATTTGATAATAATGTGGCATTTCAGTTAAATGGGGGAAAGTCTGACAAGAACCAGTGAAATTTGAAACTAGACACATTTTAACATGGAAAGTAATTAATTATTAGAACAATTTACTAAAGATTGTAATGGATTCTCCATCACTAGACATTTTGAAGTTGAAAATGATTGATTTTCTCAGAGAAATGCTCTTGTTCCTACAGGAGCTAATTCAAGAAAGTCCTGTAACCGGTGTAATATGGGAAAAAAAAGATGATCACAAATTGTCTTTCCAGCTTTGTGATCTATAAACTTGCACCAAATAGCTAATGCATATCTGCCTATGTCCTATAATCTTTTGCTGTAACTAGTAAGTATGATTCAAACATTTATCCCTTTATTTACATTTGTTTGATGGACTATAACATAAACTACATGCTAGCTGTTCAAGTTGGACATTCTGTCTGGTATATGGATTCAAAAGTCATCATCTAGACTGGGTACTTCCAGCACAGATTCAAGCATGGATGAGACAACATTTGCCACACTGAAAATACCAAAAAATACCAATCAATAGTTCTCCGTTGAGTTTGTTATGCAGAACTAAATGTAAGATAAGACACCATTGAGCTCCTCTGAACAGGACGTCTCTATTCCTGATCACCTTTCACTGACGTGTATGAAATAAGAAGGAGAAAATCTACTTTAAAATAGGCAGAGAATTTTTTGTTTCAGTGCTTGTCCAAGGTCTTCCCAGGCACTGCATCAAACTGTACTGTCTAAATCCAGCAGAGTGTCTGTCTTTGAGCAGTGCTCGATGCAAATGTTACTTGACCTAGAAAATTACTGCTCACAAGCAAAAGGAGAACCCTTTCGATATTTTGACGGTAAGTCATGGAGACCAACTATACAGAGAACTGTAAATAAACATTACTTCAAAGTGTAGCTCTGGGCAGTTCTGTATAGTTCATCTGAAGCCATTACAACATACAGAGCTATATAAAAGAGTCAAGATAGAGGAGGGAGTGTCTTGTATTACAGCTGGGAAATGAATCTAACAGTTGTTCTAATTAAAGAGGTTACTTTTTTTCTGCAAACTTTGTGTCTTTGAGCTGCAACAGCTAAAATGCTACCACTCTTCCTCCACAAACAGTATTCTTAATAGAACTGATTTTACACACAGAAAGAAATAACACAAAAGCAATGACCATGCACTTCAAAGCATAACTGAGAAAACCAATTGTTAGATATTTTCACTGTTTTTTTTTGGTGTGTTTTTTTTTTTTTTTGACAAAATGAGATGAAAAATTTTTTTATAAAAGTAATGTCCTTCCCTTCCCCATTAGGTCTGGGTAGAAATAGCAGTTAAAAACAACAGTTAAAAGAATCTGCAGGTTGAGCTATTCATGTGAGTTAGTTCACAGAGTATCTCCATCTATGAATTTTATCTGTGATCAAGTTAAATCTGTTTGCTATAATCATGCACCGTCTCTTTCTAAAGAAGGATCGACTCATAGCTGCTTTTCTTAACTTCATAATAAGACATAATGAAGGCATTTTTAGAATATTGTTTATTTCAACCAAACAAAAAGTGAGGGAAGAAGAGGTGGACACTGGGTATCACTTTTTTTTTCTGTGCAAGTTAGGTGGCAGCAGCACTGTGACAGAAAACAAATCTACTCTCCTCTCATACCTTCCTCTCTGAAGACCAAAATAACCACTCATTTACAAAATGACTGTAATGTGGAGCTACACTTGGACTAGCATATTAAACACAGGAATGGGACTCAGCTTGCACAGGGTGCACATGATTCAAATACAAGTGATCTGACTACTGCAGATAGGCATTAACAGCAGAGATTAGTCAGTCAATTCTATGAAGGTGTTTGGGTGGCAAAATGAGCAATAAGTGGGGATACACTGTAAAGCATCTTTGGAGGATGAAGGAGAAGGAGGGAAAATTGCTGCTATCTGCACTGTAATTTAACAACTAACAGCAATTTTGGAATAAAAAGGCACTCAGAACCTCACTATTTGCAATATTGGGTCAATGAGGCAATCAGACAGTGAGTCCAGATCAGGGGGCTGTTGAGGCAGTTTCTGCTTTTGACATGACATCCTGCATAGTTTTGCTCAGGACATCCACAGTAACTTAATTTTTTTTTATTTCTCTAGCTGATTTTATTTTTTTGTTTGTTTTTTGATAGTGATCACTAAATATTTAGCCAGAAATGTTGCTAATAGCAAGGAACAAGCACTCTTTGAGAGGGGTGCTCAATGCATTGAGCGCAGTCTGAACGTTTAAGATGAACACGCTCAGAACCTCGCAGTTAGTGGAAAAACCCCACTGATGCAGGCCAACACTGACAGACCCCTGCTAGGCTGGACTCCAGCACTGCTAATACTTAAACACTTCACACTTAACTTAAAGAAGCTTTTTATATGGGAATTTTGCAATCAACCTGTCTGCCCCTGCCCCAGAATCTTGCTCCAGTTTCTAATGTGAATGACTGTTGCTAGACGAACCTACATTTTAGGTCTGTCGATACTGTGTGAGGTGTGTATTGGGCTTTGCCTGTTATGAGACCTCCACCCCACTATGGTTCCTGCTTTGAAAACCAGATTGCTGCTAGCAAATACAGGTAAAACTCATTTATTGTACAGTAGAATTTCTGAGGGGAATGCTGTGCCTGGCTGCTTTACACAGTCTCTGGAAAAGAAGCATTTTGAAATCACACAGGGATAAAATGTAAAAATCACCACCACATTTAGCTTGCACCTTGAGTCTATACACAGTGCCAAATCCAAGGGCACATCTACCAGGCAGTCCCTGAGGCATCAGGATGGATGAAGCTGCCTTCTCTTAGTAGCTTCTAAGAGCTCACAGTGGCATAGTTGACTCTGTTTCCTCATCATGAGGTTTTTGACAGGGCATACATGATGGAATAATACGGCACATGTTTTCCAGATTTCTCAATAGATGACACATTGCCCAAAATATTGACGTGTGCCCTCAAAGATGTTGCTGTAAAGGAGTAAAAAGTCAGGCCACTTTATTCTGGGCTGAGACTGGAAAACCTGCTACAGAGCATGCAGGCGCCAGGCGCTGCCTTTCCCAAAGCCAGTGATGCTGTCATTCCCTATCCCAAGGCAGGTGAAGTGTTAAACCAACATTTTTCAGCCCAGAGATCAGGCCCTCTGGAGACCAGGCACAGCTGCAAAGATACAGGATAGCAGAGGAGAGCAGCAGAGCAGCAAGAAGAAATGCCTGCTGCAGTTCTCCACTTTGCAAGGGGCACCAGGTGGGATACCCTAGCTATTGTGTGCTTCCCCTTTCCTAACCCCTTGTCCCATGCTCCTGCTTTTTTCTACTTTTCAGTACACTTCCAAATACTTGTTTTGTGAATAACAACAGGTATACAGTCACATACATCTGCAGAGGTGATTACTTTAGAAGCCCAAATTGAGAACTGAAAACTTCAAAAGCTTTAATTTGCCCATTCCTATAGATAACCATTTTCAAAGACATTTCTTGCTTTAAAGAGACAGTTTCTTTGTGACAACAATGTTCTCATGTAGGAGGGCACACGGTTTTACAACTCAGGCGCAAGTTGAAGCATTTCTTGTACTGCTCAAACCAAAATGCATTCCCAGTTTTTAAGAAGGAAGAAGCCACTTTCTCATCTAATCCACTGCTCTGTATTAACACAGGCCACATCATTTCATCTGGTGTCTTAGTAACCTCTAACTCCCAAAGCATGTGCTTAGGAAGATGGGCATTTTCCACACCGTTAAAAAACTATATATTCATCAGGTCATATGTGAGATGGAGCTTTCAGATGACAGCTTCAGCCTCTACCTGTAACTACTCAGCTGTCTCCCAACTGATGAGATAAGGCTAACAAGCAGCTTACTTAAGGGAGAGAGCCTACTAGAGCTGAAGAGACTGGGTCATGTTAAGGATAAGGCTCTGTTATGCAAAACTGGGGATCTGTCTGCCATCTAGGTGATGGTAGAGAGCTGGGAAGAGTCAGGTGGTGAGATTTGGCTTACCTGTTTTAGCTGGCTTTGAGTTATGCTTGTGACTGATTTAGTCCATTGAGGAAGAGTCTCAGAAAGCATTGCCTGTAGTCTGTTCAGCTAGTTAGTCTGTCAGCCTGGAAAACGGAAGACTGAGGAGATGCTTGCTGAGTGGAAAATTTTCAGCTGATGCAAAGGTTATTTTACTGCAGCAATCCTTGCTGACCTATGTGAGAGATTTGACTGTGGTGTGTGTCCATTGTCTTTAATAGCAGTTGATGTGATTTCACAGTGTACCTGTATTTTTGTCCTTGAATATGTTGCAACTGTAAACTTCAATAAGGCACAGAGAGTTTGCTGTCATGCAATTCAGAGCTCTGTATAGGACAGGCAATGCCTAAAACTAGGGAGTGTGTTAACCTCTTTTGCAGGAGTTCTTGTTCACTAGTGAAGACATCTGTACCATCAGAGCTTCAAATTTTGCTAGAGCTTCCCTTAAAGCCTTGCAGTACCAGGTGCTGTACACAAATTGGTTTGGTAGCTCCCTCCAACCAAGTTCTTACCATCTGTCATTACAGTGCTGAAATGGGTCTCTTAATCTGGCTGTATGAACGCTCAAATCTAGAGAGAGGCTTATGCAGACACACTCTTTGTAGTTCAGGCACAGAGCCAAATAAAAGAAGGGGGGTGAGGTACCAGGGTGTAAATCAGGCAGAACTCAAAAGGCACAAAGCCACTCTGGCATCTTTTACTTTTATTTGCCATCAAAACCCTTCTGTGGTGTGTATAGGTTTAGTACTGTGGCTCTCTTAACGTCTAAACAACGCCTGGAGGCCGGCTCCTTTCCCTGTGAATGAATGCCTGCACTACACTAGATGGCACTGCTTATTACTCACGTTTTCCTCTTGTCTCTCCTATGTCTCTTCCCTGGATTTGGAGCATCCTGTAGCTGCACCTCCATCAGACTGTAACCACGTATCTGTGGTCAGTGGTGACGGGATCACCTGCAGGGAGGTATTTGGAACGTCATGTAACCAGGCAGTAGTAATGGTCATCAGAAACGTGTGCTAAGTTCTCCTCTTTACTCTAATACATGGGTAAAGCAGATTACATGCTTAAACTGAGTTCTGATGTTATCCTTGATTCTTGCAAGCATCCCCTATCACCTTTCTCATGTCTGGAATAAAAGTCACTGATAGAATTGCCTCAGACATGAGTCATGTTACGAAGCAAGAAATCTGAGTGATAATACAGCTGTTAGATACTGGTCAATAAATATGGGGGGAGGCCAATCCATGGAGTAACAATCTCTGCTCTCATCAATAGCCTACAGATTTGGCAGTAAACAACTGGGTTTCTGCTTTTAGAGTAGTGCTCAGCTAATTTGGAAACCTGATTCTTGCAAGGAGGGTCTGATCTGAATTTATGAATGCTGTTGAACAATCCTATCTTGTGCCCTTCACACACTAATAAATTGCTGAATACATCCAAAAAGTGAAGGTGTAGAGTCCCACTAGTATTTTATGTACTTTCAGTTATATTATGTATGCTCATAAAAGTCGAACATGAAATCTCATGAGTAGTGTATAGCTTTTGCACAATTTGAAAGTGTGTTGTAAAAGCAGTTATTAGTTCCACTGATCTCCTTCAAGAGGAGCTAAATGCTCTTGGCCTGATAGATATTTTGAAATCAACTGGGCCTAGAATACTTAAAACTGACTGAAGTTGTGTTAGAACACTACTGATATTTCTGAAGATGGGTAAAGTTCTGGAAAGGGGCAAATGGGGTAAGTCTCAGGAAAAGAAAATGGGAAAAGCAGAGGACTGTGATAGCTGTAGATTGGCAAGCCTGATGCCAGTTCCTAGAAATAACACACATAAGACTGGTAAGTAATGGGGGAAATTGGAAAGAAATAAGTAAAAGCCTATGCTAGTTCCTTCTGGAGGTATCAGGCACTGAAACAGGCCTTTTAGCTGGAGCGAAGCATCAAAAACATTTTGGCTCTTCTAATGCTGATCTGTTTGATCTCTGACTTGGGCAATGGGAGTGGGAGTTAAACTTGATGACTCCAGCTAGGAAACTGCAAGTGCACACAGGGGGTTATTTAGAATTTAAAAGATTGGGGAAAATGGATTAAAAATAGTGGCAAGATTCAATAAAGATAAATGAGATGCAATACATTTGTTAGTTGATTATTCCCCTCCAATAGAGGATGAAAAATAAATGGCATTTTTCAGAAAAGGGTCTTGGGAGTATACTAAACATAAATCATAACTGTGCTGTTGCCAACACTCCCCCTGAATCTCATAAGTGTGGGAGATACAGACAGAAGTATAGATTGCAAGACACATGGGGAGATCCTTTTTCCACCCATCATTGATCAAGCCTCAGCTGGAGCACTGTGGCTGATTTTGGGTATTATACTTTAAGAGCAATGTGGCACACTTGGAGAGCATCCAAAGGAGAATAACTTGTTCTCCTTAGTGAAGAACATAACTTAAAAAATATCTTTTATTTGTAGGTTACCTAGATTAAGAAAAAGAAATCTGGGAGTGGGAGAAAAAGAATGATCACAGTTTTCAAGGATATACAGCCCAGTTCAGAGAGGAAGAGGATATCTCTTCCAATATGTTGGATAAGAGCAATGGCTTTAAATTGATGCAAGGAATATTGGGGTTGATGTGAGTAAAAGCTCTCAGGTATACTTAATCCTGTCCTGCTAGTCTATTAGAATCATAGAATCATAGAATAATTAGGGTTGGAAAGGACCTTAAGATCATCTAGTTCCAACCCCTCTGCCGTGGGCAGGGACACCTCACACTAAAAAATATCATCCAAGGCCTCATCCCGCCTGGTCTTGAACATCACCAGGGATGGAGCATTCACAACCTCCCTGGGCAACCTATTCCAGTGCCTCACCACCCTAACAGTAAAGAATTTCCTCCTTATATCCAACCTAAACTTCCCCTGTTTAAGTTTTAACCCTTTACCCCTTGTCCTATCACTACAGTCCCTAATGAAGAGTTCCTCCCCAGCACCCCTATAGGCCCCCTTCAGATACTGGAAGGCTGCTATGAGGTCTCCATGCAGCCTTCTCTTCTCCAGGCCGAACAGCCCCAACTTCCTCAGCCTGTCTTCATACGGGAGGTGCTCCAGTCCCCTGATCATCCTCGTGGCCCTTCTCTGGACTTGTTCCAACAGTTCCATGTCCTTTTTATGTTGAGGACACCAGAACTGCACACAATACTCCAGGTGAGGTCTCACGAGAGCAGAGTAGAGGGGCAGGATCACCTCCTTCGACCTGCTGGTCACGCTCCTTTTGATGCAGCCCAGGATACAGTTGGCTTTCTGGGCTGCAAGCGCACACTGAAGCCGGCTCATGTTCTTTTTCTCATCAACCAACACCCCCAAGTCCTTCTCTGCAGGGCTGCTCTGAATCTCTTCTCTGCCCAACCTGTAGCTGTGCCTGGGATTGCTCCGACCCAGGTGTAGGACCTTGCACTTGTCATGGTTAAACTTCATGAGGTTGGCATCAGCCCACCTCACAAGTGTGTCAAGGTCCCTCTGGATGGCATTCCTTCCCTCCAGCGTACCAACCGAACCACACAGCTTGGTGTCATCGGCAACCTTGCTGAGGGCACACTCAATCCCACTGTCCATGTCAGCGACGAAGATGTTAAACAAGACCGGTCCCAACACCGATCCCTGAGGGGCACCACTCGTTACTGGTCTCCAGCTGGACATTGAGCCATTGACCACAACTCTTTGCGTGCGGCCATCCAGCCAGTTCTTTATCCACCGAGATATTATGGTATTAGTAATTAATACTGGCAGTTTTATTTGAAAGATACAGCTGTTGCAACCCCAGATTATGGATTTGCTAAATTGCCAAGACTAATGCTCTTTTTTGAAGACCCAAACCTTGCATTTTATTGGTGTCCAAACAGTATTATCTTTTATTTTCTCCCTAAAGCCATGCTGAATTGCCCGTATGAATTAAAACTCATGGACGTGACTCCACTTTCAAGACTTCCCCACTTAAATGTTATACATACTTCTTTTTTTTACACTCATAACCCAGATTACAAAATAAGATGAAAGGAAGAAAACTGCTGGAAATAATAAGTAAATAATAATGCTTTGAATGAGATCACTTAAATGTTGGGGTGCTTCCCAGTGGCTAAGTAGTAGGTGTAGACTGAACCTTTCACCATGGCTACAAACCAGGTTCTACACCACCTTTATAAGCAGATTTCTGGAATTCTTCATCCAGGCTTGGGCCTGCTCTCTGCAGCTGAGGAGGCTGTCAAAGGCAAGCTGGGAACCATGTGGCTAACCTCAAGAATGAAAAGCAGAAAGGGTAGTTAGGCAATGGAACAGGCTGCCCAGGGGAGTGGTTGAGTCACCGTCACTGAAGTATTTAAAAGGTGTGTAGATGTGGCACTTAGGGACATGCTTTAGTGAGGGACTTGGCAGTGTTAGGTTTATGGTTGGAACTGAGGATCTTAGTTTCTAACCTAATTGATTCTCTGATTCTACTGCATGATGGAGCAAACAACTGTAGAGAGGAGTCATTTAATTTAGAAAGGTGTGTCAAAAGAGTATCAAATATCTGTGAAGTACTCAATTTTGCCAACATTAAAATGCAACAGAAAATGTCATATTTTTTAATCATAGAAAGGAGACAAAACAGGGAGTTATGTCATGTTAAGAAGACTGGAAATGTTTTCATCCTTTTGTTTTCAGCAAACAAAAAGACTTCCTTGAAATGCAGTCTCTCTTGGAATAAGATGTTGATTTTTTTGAAACATTAAGTCTCAGTGATGTGATTAAACTGAAGAAAAAATAGATATGAATATATTCATGTGTTTGAGGGTTTTGCAAACGAGATTTAGTCAGAGATACAAGTGGATACTTTAGGAGTCTTGTGTCAGGAAATGGGCTCATATTCTCTTCTCAAGGCTTAGTTCTGTCACATTTGCAAGTGTTGTAGAATTTATGCCCGGCCTCAATGCAGCACTGGGAAGAGTATTTTTCTTATATAAGCATTGTTGGACAGATGGTAGAAGCCTGCTGAACCTTAACTTGCAGTTCAGGTACAAATAAATTTTAACCCTGTGTACAGTAAGTTTTATAGGTGGATTTAAAAATAAATGTTTCTGCTAAGATTAAGTACCATTTTACACAATAAATCAAAACTTATAATTGAGTTGTATTTGAAAATGGTATGAATGCCCATTTGAAAGGAAAATATTCTGAGGAAATAATATTTATCTAAAACCATAATGTTAAAAAAGAAAATATATTGCCTTTCATGCCATTGGCCTTGATTTCCATATAAAAAGATAATTGCCATATGAATAACAAGGAGGATGGAATGGGCACTTCGTGGGTGTTTCAGATAGCTGATTCCTTTCTTCTGCTTATCTTGTCTCTTGCTCTTTCATCTCTTGGACTCCCTTACATGAGTGCCCAACTCTGTGTCAGTCATATCAGGGTAGTCCTAGGCCTGGACAAGCATTGAATGAGATGATGGGGAAGCTAGATGCTGGCCACTGCAAATTCCAAAGAGCCCTTGAGAATATAACCTCCCTGTGTCTCTCAATCCTGTTAGATGTTTACCTACTTAAATACATCTTGAAAATCTCTCTCTAAATGACTTACAGGTGTAAATCCCATTGGAAATCAATAGCAATTTTTTTTTTTCCTAAATGATCAATGTACTTCTTAAAATTTTACCCGTATCTTCAGAGCATTTACAGAAAGATAAAGCTCGCTCATCTGAGTTTCTTATAGCCTATATTTGTTATTATGAAACTTCTATTTTTGCAGTTACTGCCACCTAAACTCACCAAGGTAACTGTGATGAATGAATGCTATTTTGATTGAAACTTGGTGGAAACAAACTTAGAGATTTTGCTTTTTAGTTTCCTTGATTTATTGTGCTTCTGAAGAAAGTGACTAGTTACAGGCCCACCTCCTGCTTACCCAGCAAAATGCTCGTTCCTGCTTGCCTGGAAGCTTCTATGCAGCAATAAAGCACAATCAGAGGGAAAGCACTAAATGCTCAGGCGTTGCAAATAGGTAATGCTTATTCTTCCCAGCAGCTCAAATTGGTTTTGTCATACACAATCATAACACAAGCTGGTTATGGAAAAGTTGTGATTCAATAATTCAAGCTTTCCTCTGAATTGGCATCAGTAACGTGAAACATTTCTCCTGAAATCTACTTTGATGATGAAAATATTGCTGATTTCCAGTGCAAAGGTACATCTATTGTATTTACAACAATGCCCAAAGTTAGCTTTGATTATTTCATTTTGCAGCTAATAAATGATCCTGGCTCAGTAATGAGGTCTTCTTACTCCTGTATTTCACAGAAGCAGCGGGGATCACATGTTCATATAAATAAGAAATAACTTTTAAAGGTCTTCTAGCTACTTAAAAGAATAATTTTGAGCTGCTCAAAACAGCCATGTAAAGTACATGAAACACTTCATACTTTTAGCTTTCTGTGAGTTCTACAATTTACTTGGATATTTTTCATACCAAAAAATAGTGTTTTCTGCCTTTATTTTTTGGCCACAGTATTGTAAAGAAGCACCTATGTGAAATCTTCATGGTTTGATTTTATCCAACACCCCCCACCCCCTCTGCTTTACTAATTTCTGTTATCCACTTCCAGAATGATTTTTGAGAAAGTGTAAACCCAAAATTCAAAGGTTAGTTAACAAAATTAGTTGTTTTAAATGGCAAAGCCATAAAGTGCAAAGCTAGCAAAGACAGCTAGCTACCTTTACAGATGAAGATGCTTCACAGTGTGGAGGCAATGCCAGCCTTGTCCTGCAGAACTTCCGTGTTTCCTGAGAATCAAAAAGGAGAAAAGAGTTAAAGCAGGATTTCACAACTACCCCCTACAGGAGATCAGCTTCCAATGTGAAAGAAGGACTTGCACTAGTCATGATCTGCATCTTGTTTCTGTGCTGGCTATCAAAAGACCCTGTCAAGAAGGTATTGGTCTTAGCTATAATACATTCACAAGCCCAAAAAGCATGCACTAAATGAAGACTGGGCATCACAAATGCTTTTCAGGCACTTGCTGCAGGGGCTGCACACATCCTAAAATCCTTCATCCAAATATGTTATTGTATACAAACTGTTGGCATGCGCATGTGTGACAAGTCTGGGTGCAGATAGGTTTGATGGTCTTCATGGTGCTTTACTTTCCCCTCAGTTTTCTCCTTTTCTGTGTGTGTGTGGGTGCGGAGGAGGGAGGTGGGCAGAACACATGATCAGTCTCTCATGTTTGTTAACTGTGGAAATAGCATTCTCCTTAATGTTTTCTTCCTTTCAGAAGCTCATCTTTGCTATTTTAAGTGTCCCAGCAGCTTGTACAGGATAGAAAAATGCCATGTAGAAAAGACAGGTTGGGCTACACTGCATCAGCTTGAGAAGCAAATGCTGCCATGTGGCAGCCACCACCAAACCCAGCAGCGAGGTAGCCTTGAAGGACCACTCATCCCCAAGCCCTCTTTGCAGAGCTGGCAGTGTTCTCCAGGCTGGCTCCTGCTCCGGGATGTTTCTTCCTAAAGGAAAGAACAAGCTCTGTTTAAGAGAAAAAGCTCCAAAGCCTGGTAACATCTCTGTCAGTAGTGGTTGTGCAACAAAACCTACATAATTCCAGGGAACAAGTGAGAAATAAATTCACTCTTCTGCAGCTCACTGAGACCATGTCCTGGCACATTCATTACCGCTCCTTGGGTGGTGGTTTAGTTTTTGTTAGCAGCATCTCTGGCTGCACAGGCTGGAAGCAGACTGCTCTGAAAGGAGGAAAACCTGTATTTGTTATGAGCAAACTACAAATCAAAAGACCAGTAATATGGTTTTAACTGTTAATACACTCACATGCGTGTTGCATACATGTACAGTATCTCAAGGAAACTCCATATAGTAGAAGAGGCAACTTGCTGAAAATGATATTTGGTGAACAGAAGAATGAAGTACTCCACTGGCTGTGGAGGCTCGTCTCATGCTGCATGGCTGCTTTCCTTCCTCATCAGGAAATGTAACAAATTTAAACAAACACAGCAGTGTTGTGAGAGGAAGAGGAAATAGAGATGAGGCTGTTTATGGATCAGATCTTCCCCAGTCACAGTTTATGTGCACATAGCAAATGGCACTGAATTATTCAAACCTTTCTGGAGTCAAAATCACTAGATTCCTATTGGGTAACTGGTGTATTAATGATACTGAAGTGGTTCCTCTTTTGTGAAATGAAGGGGGGGGAAGGACATTGCCTATAAACAAGAAAATGCTTTGCAAATGTCCCTGTTAACTTCTCAAAGGCCTGAGCTTGGTTTGTATAGCAGCCTGAGAGGTGGGTAAATGCTCACTTTACAGGCAGGGAAATGAGGGGTTTTGAAGTGCTGATGCATTAATAGCAGTAACCTCTTCAGTCCTTCCACTAATCCATCAGAGCTACAGCTAACATCCGGAGCATTCCAATTCTTAACTCCATTTTTAGGAGCAATTTTCATTCCTGTTTTAAGAAGGCTTACATGTCTGTGGTCACCTTAGGAACCTTGGACCAAGAGTTCCATGTGTCTAGAAAACTAAAGATGAAACAGGACACTGAGAATGTGAATCTTGGAGGTTTCAAACGTGATTCATTGGAATACTTTGAAATGTTATAAAATAGATGCAAAAAAAATCATAACAGCTTTCTAGTCTTCCCTAGCCCAATAAAACAAAACTAGAGACCTTATCATAAAATCCAAGTTCCACACCTAACAGCCAATATGTATTTAAGGCCTTTCCAATAACCTTTTGCCCGTTGAACTGGCCTCGTCCAAATATTTCTCACCTGCTGACATTTGTAGTACACCAAAATCTCAGTAGAGATTCTCATTGTGCTGAACAGAACTTGCACATGCACACAGAACACCAGCAGATTGCTCAGCAAGTTGTGAAAACCTCCATTGATGTGCTGAGATAAATCTGAGCCATTAAGAAACACTTCACTGAAGCACTTAAACTGATGCAGTACTGATCTGCACTAAAATAAGGACTAAACTTTATGAAACAAATGAAATTAATTAAACAAATGAAAGGGCCCAACTTGAGATTTTTCTCTGCACTAGGTTTTTGAGCTATCATTCAGTACCATGCAATGCATAACTGCTAGACCTATTTTATTTTCTGGTATTCATAGATTATTGTATCAGAGAAAACTCTTCTACAAAGGCAATACCAGCTCAAATCACCATTGGTATCTCCAGCCTCAAGCTTCAAGGTGGTGATTAAAGAATCTTTTAAACATAATTGACTATTAACATGGCCACAAAATTTTAAGCCACATGGGTAAGGGTAATGAGAAATATTACACTGCTCCTGAATTGGTTTAAAGCCAACATGCACAGGAAGAAAAGCAAGGAAAAGAAGAGGTTCTGCAGGACATCTGACCAACCTGTGCTTGTGAAGCCCAGGAAAATCACCTGGCTCACTAGGAAAGTCACTGCCTGTGCAGATAATTCTGGTTTAAAAAAAAAGATAGAAAACATTACAACCTGCAGCCTGCCAAGGAAGGCTCCAGAACAAGCTTCTTTTCATATAATAGCACAGTAACACTCTTCTTTAGGATATCTTTTATCAGAGAAGCCTTTTACAGGAGCTTGAATGCAATAGTATTTTCTACAAGCAGTATTCTACTATGCCACATCTTCTGCATGCTTGATTGCAGTGTAGGAGGGAACTCCTACCTGCAATAAACCAAATGCAATAAATGTCCACCTATGAGCTGTAGGCAGGATTTCACCTCTCCTTGGGGAATACCCCCTCTCAATACCAAATCATCAAAGTGAAATAGAAAATAACTTCATAGCTCTTGGCTCTTCAGCTAGCTGGGGCTCAAATGAGACCAGTGTTTCAGACTGGAGTAAGGAGCCAAGAATAATTCAGCAGCAAATTTGGCATGGGTTACACCTCCAGAGATTTGTGTTCCTCTGTGAAGGTGCTTTGCTGTGATACCAAGTCCCTTCTTGGTCTTCTTTTTACTCAGGTAAGCAGATTGAGTTCTCAAAGTCTCTCACTGAAAGCATTTCCTCCAGCCTTCAAAGCATTTGTCCAGGCCCTGCCTTTGTCCTTTTCAGTTCTGGACTTCTGTTTGTTCCCTCATTTTCTCTTTTAAAGCAGCAGCAGGACAAAAAAAAACACTTTTACCATTCCAGTAATGGTGACCCCAATGCGCCATTGAGTGTAAACTCCTTTCTCCTCACAAGCTGGCAGTTCTTACACAGTGCCCATCACCACGGCAGGGCACTGGGAGCTCCTGCTACATTGCCTCTTTCATAGGACCCTTGTAGCTTCTTGCATGCTGGTGTCACCTAAGATGGGACCATCTGTTCTGTAGGTGACCCCTGTTCCTTTGCCCTGGGTATGCACCTTACATATGGCTACATTTTAATGCACATGATGTGAAAAGCCTCAAAAAATGAAGTAAGTCGTTATAATAATCACTTCTAAGTATGAGGAAAATTTAAAGCCTAATTTTAAGAGATGCTAAACATGCTCCAGTCTCTTCAGTTTATTAATTCTAAATATCAACTGAACTATAAAATCCATCATTTTTTACTTTCAGAAAGTTGGATTTATGTTCCTTAACTCAGAGATTAAAATCCTTGTTTACAATAAGGTTGGAGAAAAAAAACAAGTGAATTACAGAATGAAGTGTTATGGCACCAACCAAAATGAGAAAAATATGCCTGAAGAGAATTAACAACATTAATAAGTGAACAACAGATGATAGCATAATTACTGTTTCAGTACAAAAGTGTCTCCATCAGAACTAAATCCCTTTGAGGAGGAAAGAGAGGAAAGGCTACATGTTGTAAGCAGGAAAGTAACGAGCAGCATAATCATTGCTAGAATCTGAACTTAATAACCTGCCCTTACTTAGAAATATTGTCCACGTACAGAAAAGACAGGACTGCAGATTAGTAAGGGATTATATATTATATTATATATACTAATATTATGTATTAGTAAAGTATTAAATTATAGTCAAAGGCTATTTATACTTCAGGATAAACATCAGTGAAAATCTTTGCCTTCAGAGACTGTGTGTGTACTGAATTCCAGGTGAAATTCCCAATGCAATTGATCAAAAAGACCTTTATCTTCAGCAAACGTGCATCTGATCAGCGTCTGATAAATTTGAGCTGCCAGTTAGATCAACGGTTTCCCTGGTAAAGGCCAGAAATTAGAGAGCACTGCTTCCTAAGTAGGTGATCAACGATGCCTGGGCAAAGCACAGAGACCCCAGTACTTCATGGGAAGCTAAACAGTCCCTGTGTTTGCACAGAACTGACTTGCAGTCACTGTGCTCCCATACTCAAGCCAGTCTCAGGGGTCTCATCTAAACGGTGTAAGGCAAAGCAACCTGCCACACACATAAAGACTTCCAGTAGCCCAGCAAGTTGAAAGAAAGGGGCAAGAGGAAGACCCAGATCCTGCAAACAACATGTACTCATCCACAGCTGTGAATACCTAAATTGCCACTTTGACTTCACAGGGTTGGCTGGCTATTGGGTTTACTGGCAAGACTGGAGTCTGGCACTGTAAACTCCCCGGGGGTGAAAGGATCCATCTGGGTTCTGCTCACAAAAAAGTCTCAGCATCTGGTGTGAGAGACTTTTAGGACACTAAAATAAATCAACTAAGAATTGTTCTGTTCTGTACAGTAAAGCTGCAAGTTAAATACTGTCCCTGCAACAAGCTACCCTGTAGTCTCCCTAGCCTATGCTGAGTGCAGGTGAGAGGCAATGCCACCCTATACTGTATTTCTTGGAGCTCACTTGTGTGTCTCACGTTGGAAAAGAAATCCTCACTAATTTCTTCCTGTGTAAGGAAAAGGGATAGTGTAGGACACAGGGCACTCTTTGGTACATCCCTGCCATCGTGCACAGCCCCAACCTGCTATAGTGGACATTGAGATTGAAGTAGCTGCACTGACTAAATGAATCTAAATGAAAATTTCTCATTCTGAAAATAAGACTCACCCTCTCAGCCAAATGATAAACCTGGAGCCAGCTTTAACCCATAGAGAATCAATCCTGGTTAAAAAGAGCTCCAGAAAAGCAGCTGCTGAGCCTATCACACTGCATATTGGTAAAAGTAACTCAAGTTTCTTATCCTGTCCAAGTGCCTTCATTTTATGTCTCCGTTAATTCCGTACCCTGAAAATTCCCAGAACCAGAAATGTCCTAACAGGCTTTTCTGCCCATCATGAAATGCACTTATTACCTCTCCATGGGAAAGTAATTTTGTCTTCTGATTTTCAGCAGTGATTTCTGTGTTTGGTGACTCTTAGTAGAAACTGGCAGGGGTTTTGTCAGCTAAAAGTTAATCAGTGATTCTCTTGTTCAAGTCAGGACACATTGTTCTTCTAGCTAGATTATTTTTTTCCTAAACTAATGGAAAGAATATTTTACCATTCTTTGAATGCTAATAGAACAAACAAGAAATATTTTGAGCCTGATTTAATGATTGATGCATAGTCCCATATAGCGGACTGTGAATAGAAATATTGTGAGCTGGGGCTCTATACAGGACATGGAATAGATCCTCCAGTCTGGTTATGGTACTCTGTGTTATAATAATGCAAAGCAACTGGGATGTGTCTTTACTCATATGAGGAGTCTTCAGCCTCGGAGAATCTCCAGGAGATGTCAGGCCACTGTCAGGTTCGTGCTAATCTGTACCCCCTGCCTGATGTGAGGCACTGCTGTGAAAATATAGGTATTCCCAGTGGGAGCCATGGCTG